AGGGCTCAGAGCAGACAATTCGCAAAATGTTCTTTTCACATTTTCAGTGTCGCTAATTCGGCACCACACAGGTGTGCACATTGGTCTGTTTATCGTTCTATGTGATTGTCACGAGTTGTTATTTATTTATTTTTTTTTTTTTTTCCCCGTCCAGGCCTTGAGGCAGTATGCGCTTTTCCAGCGTTGGCCCCTCAAAACGTACTACACAATGATGGGTAGGCCTGCGGGCGGGCGCAAATGCATGCAGAGGGGCATACATAACATGGTTTAAGAAAATTGTGCGGAAACGTCTACACACGTGGGACGAAATCGATTTGTTCGCTTGGCTTCCTTTGAATTTCTTTTTATTTGATTTGTTCTCAGTTGTGATGAAGTCTCTCCGGGGAAATGCAAAAAGGGGGAAACGCGTGCACGTTTATGTGCACGTTTGTGTGGACGATTGTGTGCTCGTTTATGTGCACGTTTGTGTGGACGATTGTGTGCTCGTTTATGTGCACGTTTGTGTGGACGATTGTGTGCTCGTTTATGTGCACGTTTGTGTGGACGATTGTGTGCTCGTTTATGTGCACGTTTGTGTGGACGATTGTGTGCTCGTTTATGTGCACGTTTGTGTGGACGATTGTGTGCTCGTTTATGTGCACGTTTGTGTGGACGATTGTGTGCTCGTTTATGTGCACGTTTGTGTGGACGATTGTGTGCTCGTTTATGTGCACGTTTGTGTGGACGATTGTGTGCTCGTTTATGTGCACGTTTGTGTGGACGATTGTGTGCTCGTTTATGTGCACGTTTGTGTGGACGATTGTGTGCTCGTTTATGTGCACGTTTGTGTGGACGATTGTGTGCTCGTTTATGTGCACGTTTGTGTGGACGATTGTGTGCTCGTTTATGTGCACGTTTGTGTGGACGATTGTGTGCTCGTTTATGTGCACGTTTGTGTGGACGATTGTGTGCTCGTTTATGTGCACGTTTGTGTGGACGATTGTGTGCTCGTTTATGTGCACGTTTGTGTGGACGATTGTGTGCTCGTTTATGTGCACGTTTGTGTGGACGATTGTGTGCTCGTTTATGTGCACGTTTGTGTGGACGATTGTGTGCTCGTTTATGTGCACGTTTGTGTGGACGATTGTGTGCTCGTTTATGTGCACGTTTGTGTGGACGATTGTGTGCTCGTTTATGTGCACGTTTGTGTGGACGATTGTGTGCTCGTTTATGTGCACGTTTGTGTGGACGATTGTGTGCTCGTTTATGTGCACGTTTGTGTGGACGATTGTGTGCTCGTTTATGTGCACGTTTGTGTGGACGATTGTGTGCTCGTTTATGTGCACGTTTGTGTGGACGATTGTGTGCTCGTTTATGTGCACGTTTGTGTGGACGATTGTGTGCTCGTTTATGTGCACGTTTGTGTGGACGATTGTGTGCTCGTTTATGTGCACGTTTGTGTGGACGATTGTGTGCTCGTTTATGTGCACGTTTGTGTGGACGATTGTGTGCTCGTTTATGTGCACGTTTGTGTGGACGATTGTGTGCTCGTTTATGTGCACGTTTGTGTGGACGATTGTGTGCTCGTTTATGTGCACGTTTGTGTGGACGATTGTGTGCTCGTTTATGTGCACGTTTGTGTGGACGATTGTGTGCTCGTTTATGTGCACGTTTGTGTGGACGATTGTGTGCTCGTTTATGTGCACGTTTGTGTGGACGATTGTGTGCTCGTTTATGTGCACGTTTGTGTGGACGATTGTGTGCTCGTTTATGTGCACGTTTGTGTGGACGATTGTGTGCTCGTTTATGTGCACGTTTGTGTGGACGATTGTGTGCTCGTTTATGTGCACGTTTGTGTGGACGATTGTGTGCTCGTTTATGTGCACGTTTGTGTGGACGATTGTGTGCTCGTTTATGTGCACGTTTGTGTGGACGATTGTGTGCTCGTTTATGTGCACGTTTGTGTGGACGATTGTGTGCTCGTTTATGTGCACGTTTGTGTGGACGATTGTGTGCTCGTTTATGTGCACGTTTGTGTGGACGATTGTGTGCTCGTTTATGTGCACGTTTGTGTGGACGATTGTGTGCTCGTTTATGTGCACGTTTGTGTGGACGATTGTGTGCTCGTTTATGTGCACGTTTGTGTGGACGATTGTGTGCTCGTTTATGTGCACGTTTGTGTGGACGATTGTGTGCTCGTTTATGTGCACGTTTGTGTGGACGATTGTGTGCTCGTTTATGTGCACGTTTGTGTGGACGATTGTGTGCTCGTTTATGTGCACGTTTGTGTGGACGATTGTGTGCTCGTTTATGTGCACGTTTGTGTGGACGATTGTGTGCTCGTTTATGTGCACGTTTGTGTGGACGATTGTGTGCTCGTTTATGTGCACGTTTGTGTGGACGATTGTGTGCTCGTTTATGTGCACGTTTGTGTGGACGATTGTGTGCTCGTTTATGTGCACGTTTGTGTGGACGATTGTGTGCTCGTTTATGTGCACGTTTGTGTGGACGATTGTGTGCTCGTTTATGTGCACGTTTGTGTGGACGATTGTGTGCTCGTTTATGTGCACGTTTGTGTGGACGATTGTGTGCTCGTTTATGTGCACGTTTGTGTGGACGATTGTGTGCTCGTTTATGTGCACGTTTGTGTGGACGATTGTGTGCTCGTTTATGTGCACGTTTGTGTGGACGATTGTGTGCTCGTTTATGTGCACGTTTGTGTGGACGATTGTGTGCTCGTTTATGTGCACGTTTGTGTGGACGATTGTGTGCTCGTTTATGTGCACGTTTGTGTGGACGATTGTGTGCTCGTTTATGTGCACGTTTGTGTGGACGATTGTGTGCTCGTTTATGTGCACGTTTGTGTGGACGATTGTGTGCTCGTTTATGTGCACGTTTGTGTGGACGATTGTGTGCTCGTTTATGTGCACGTTTGTGTGGACGATTGTGTGCTCGTTTATGTGCACGTTTGTGTGGACGATTGTGTGCTCGTTTATGTGCACGTTTGTGTGGACGATTGTGTGCTCGTTTATGTGCACGTTTGTGTGGACGATTGTGTGCTCGTTTATGTGCACGTTTGTGTGGACGATTGTGTGCTCGTTTATGTGCACGTTTGTGTGGACGATTGTGTGCTCGTTTATGTGCACGTTTGTGTGGACGATTGTGTGCTCGTTTATGTGCACGTTTGTGTGGACGATTGTGTGCTCGTTTATGTGCACGTTTGTGTGGACGATTGTGTGCTCGTTTATGTGCACGTTTGTGTGGACGATTGTGTGCTCGTTTATGTGCACGTTTGTGTGGACGATTGTGTGCTCGTTTATGTGCACGTTTGTGTGGACGATTGTGTGCTCGTTTATGTGCACGTTTGTGTGGACGATTGTGTGCTCGTTTATGTGCACGTTTGTGTGGACGATTGTGTGCTCGTTTATGTGCACGTTTGTGTGGACGATTGTGTGCTCGTTTATGTGCACGTTTGTGTGGACGATTGTGTGCTCGTTTATGTGCACGTTTGTGTGGACGATTGTGTGCTCGTTTATGTGCACGTTTGTGTGGACGATTGTGTGCTCGTTTATGTGCACGTTTGTGTGGACGATTGTGTGCTCGTTTATGTGCACGTTTGTGTGGACGATTGTGTGCTCGTTTATGTGCACGTTTGTGTGGACGATTGTGTGCTCGTTTATGTGCACGTTTGTGTGGACGATTGTGTGCTCGTTTATGTGCACGTTTGTGTGGACGATTGTGTGCTCGTTTATGTGCACGTTTGTGTGGACGATTGTGTGCTCGTTTATGTGCACGTTTGTGTGGACGATTGTGTGCTCGTTTATGTGCACGTTTGTGTGGACGATTGTGTGCTCGTTTATGTGCACGTTTGTGTGGACGATTGTGTGCTCGTTTATGTGCACGTTTGTGTGGACGATTGTGTGCTCGTTTATGTGCACGTTTGTGTGGACGATTGTGTGCTCGTTTATGTGCACGTTTGTGTGGACGATTGTGTGCTCGTTTATGTGCACGTTTGTGTGGACGATTGTGTGCTCGTTTATGTGCACGTTTGTGTGGACGATTGTGTGCTCGTTTATGTGCACGTTTGTGTGGACGATTGTGTGCTCGTTTATGTGCACGTTTGTGTGGACGATTGTGTGCTCGTTTATGTGCACGTTTGTGTGGACGATTGTGTGCTCGTTTATGTGCACGTTTGTGTGGACGATTGTGTGCTCGTTTATGTGCACGTTTGTGTGGACGATTGTGTGCTCGTTTATGTGCACGTTTGTGTGGACGATTGTGTGCTCGTTTATGTGCACGTTTGTGTGGACGATTGTGTGCTCGTTTATGTGCACGTTTGTGTGGACGATTGTGTGCTCGTTTATGTGCACGTTTGTGTGGACGATTGTGTGCTCGTTTATGTGCACGTTTGTGTGGACGATTGTGTGCTCGTTTATGTGCACGTTTGTGTGGACGATTGTGTGCTCGTTTATGTGCACGTTTGTGTGGACGATTGTGTGCTCGTTTATGTGCACGTTTGTGTGGACGATTGTGTGCTCGTTTATGTGCACGTTTGTGTGGACGATTGTGTGCTCGTTTATGTGCACGTTTGTGTGGACGATTGTGTGCTCGTTTATGTGCACGTTTGTGTGGACGATTGTGTGCTCGTTTATGTGCACGTTTGTGTGGACGATTGTGTGCTCGTTTATGTGCACGTTTGTGTGGACGATTGTGTGCTCGTTTATGTGCACGTTTGTGTGGACGATTGTGTGCTCGTTTATGTGCACGTTTGTGTGGACGATTGTGTGCTCGTTTATGTGCACGTTTGTGTGGACGATTGTGTGCTCGTTTATGTGCACGTTTGTGTGGACGATTGTGTGCTCGTTTATGTGCACGTTTGTGTGGACGATTGTGTGCTCGTTTATGTGCACGTTTGTGTGGACGATTGTGTGCTCGTTTATGTGCACGTTTGTGTGGACGATTGTGTGCTCGTTTATGTGCACGTTTGTGTGGACGATTGTGTGCTCGTTTATGTGCACGTTTGTGTGGACGATTGTGTGCTCGTTTATGTGCACGTTTGTGTGGACGATTGTGTGCTCGTTTATGTGCACGTTTGTGTGGACGATTGTGTGCTCGTTTATGTGCACGTTTGTGTGGACGATTGTGTGCTCGTTTATGTGCACGTTTGTGTGGACGATTGTGTGCTCGTTTATGTGCACGTTTGTGTGGACGATTGTGTGCTCGTTTATGTGCACGTTTGTGTGGACGATTGTGTGCTCGTTTATGTGCACGTTTGTGTGGACGATTGTGTGCTCGTTTATGTGCACGTTTGTGTGGACGATTGTGTGCTCGTTTATGTGCACGTTTGTGTGGACGATTGTGTGCTCGTTTATGTGCACGTTTGTGTGGACGATTGTGTGCTCGTTTATGTGCACGTTTGTGTGGACGATTGTGTGCTCGTTTATGTGCACGTTTGTGTGGACGATTGTGTGCTCGTTTATGTGCACGTTTGTGTGGACGATTGTGTGCTCGTTTATGTGCACGTTTGTGTGGACGATTGTGTGCTCGTTTATGTGCACGTTTGTGTGGACGATTGTGTGCTCGTTTATGTGCACGTTTGTGTGGACGATTGTGTGCTCGTTTATGTGCACGTTTGTGTGGACGATTGTGTGCTCGTTTATGTGCACGTTTGTGTGGACGATTGTGTGCTCGTTTATGTGCACGTTTGTGTGGACGATTGTGTGCTCGTTTATGTGCACGTTTGTGTGGACGATTGTGTGCTCGTTTATGTGCACGTTTGTGTGGACGATTGTGTGCTCGTTTATGTGCACGTTTGTGTGGACGATTGTGTGCTCGTTTATGTGCACGTTTGTGTGGACGATTGTGTGCTCGTTTATGTGCACGTTTGTGTGGACGATTGTGTGCTCGTTTATGTGCACGTTTGTGTGGACGATTGTGTGCTCGTTTATGTGCACGTTTGTGTGGACGATTGTGTGCTCGTTTATGTGCACGTTTGTGTGGACGATTGTGTGCTCGTTTATGTGCACGTTTGTGTGGACGATTGTGTGCTCGTTTATGTGCACGTTTGTGTGGACGATTGTGTGCTCGTTTATGTGCACGTTTGTGTGGACGATTGTGTGCTCGTTTATGTGCACGTTTGTGTGGACGATTGTGTGCTCGTTTATGTGCACGTTTGTGTGGACGATTGTGTGCTCGTTTATGTGCACGTTTGTGTGGACGATTGTGTGCTCGTTTATGTGCACGTTTGTGTGGACGATTGTGTGCTCGTTTATGTGCACGTTTGTGTGGACGATTGTGTGCTCGTTTATGTGCACGTTTGTGTGGACGATTGTGTGCTCGTTTATGTGCACGTTTGTGTGGACGATTGTGTGCTCGTTTATGTGCACGTTTGTGTGGACGATTGTGTGCTCGTTTATGTGCACGTTTGTGTGGACGATTGTGTGCTCGTTTATGTGCACGTTTGTGTGGACGATTGTGTGCTCGTTTATGTGCACGTTTGTGTGGACGATTGTGTGCTCGTTTATGTGCACGTTTGTGTGGACGATTGTGTGCTCGTTTATGTGCACGTTTGTGTGGACGATTGTGTGCTCGTTTATGTGCACGTTTGTGTGGACGATTGTGTGCTCGTTTATGTGCACGTTTGTGTGGACGATTGTGTGCTCGTTTATGTGCACGTTTGTGTGGACGATTGTGTGCTCGTTTATGTGCACGTTTGTGTGGACGATTGTGTGCTCGTTTATGTGCACGTTTGTGTGGACGATTGTGTGCTCGTTTATGTGCACGTTTGTGTGGACGATTGTGTGCTCGTTTATGTGCACGTTTGTGTGGACGATTGTGTGCTCGTTTATGTGCACGTTTGTGTGGACGATTGTGTGCTCGTTTATGTGCACGTTTGTGTGGACGATTGTGTGCTCGTTTATGTGCACGTTTGTGTGGACGATTGTGTGCTCGTTTATGTGCACGTTTGTGTGGACGATTGTGTGCTCGTTTATGTGCACGTTTGTGTGGACGATTGTGTGCTCGTTTATGTGCACGTTTGTGTGGACGATTGTGTGCTCGTTTATGTGCACGTTTGTGTGGACGATTGTGTGCTCGTTTATGTGCACGTTTGTGTGGACGATTGTGTGCTCGTTTATGTGCACGTTTGTGTGGACGATTGTGTGCTCGTTTATGTGCACGTTTGTGTGGACGATTGTGTGCTCGTTTATGTGCACGTTTGTGTGGACGATTGTGTGCTCGTTTATGTGCACGTTTGTGTGGACGATTGTGTGCTCGTTTATGTGCACGTTTGTGTGGACGATTGTGTGCTCGTTTATGTGCACGTTTGTGTGGACGATTGTGTGCTCGTTTATGTGCACGTTTGTGTGGACGATTGTGTGCTCGTTTATGTGCACGTTTGTGTGGACGATTGTGTGCTCGTTTATGTGCACGTTTGTGTGGACGATTGTGTGCTCGTTTATGTGCACGTTTGTGTGGACGATTGTGTGCTCGTTTATGTGCACGTTTGTGTGGACGATTGTGTGCTCGTTTATGTGCACGTTTGTGTGGACGATTGTGTGCTCGTTTATGTGCACGTTTGTGTGGACGATTGTGTGCTCGTTTATGTGCACGTTTGTGTGGACGATTGTGTGCTCGTTTATGTGCACGTTTGTGTGGACGATTGTGTGCTCGTTTATGTGCACGTTTGTGTGGACGATTGTGTGCTCGTTTATGTGCACGTTTGTGTGGACGATTGTGTGCTCGTTTATGTGCACGTTTGTGTGGACGATTGTGTGCTCGTTTATGTGCACGTTTGTGTGGACGATTGTGTGCTCGTTTATGTGCACGTTTGTGTGGACGATTGTGTGCTCGTTTATGTGCACGTTTGTGTGGACGATTGTGTGCTCGTTTATGTGCACGTTTGTGTGGACGATTGTGTGCTCGTTTATGTGCACGTTTGTGTGGACGATTGTGTGCTCGTTTATGTGCACGTTTGTGTGGACGATTGTGTGCTCGTTTATGTGCACGTTTGTGTGGACGATTGTGTGCTCGTTTATGTGCACGTTTGTGTGGACGATTGTGTGCTCGTTTATGTGCACGTTTGTGTGGACGATTGTGTGCTCGTTTATGTGCACGTTTGTGTGGACGATTGTGTGCTCGTTTATGTGCACGTTTGTGTGGACGATTGTGTGCTCGTTTATGTGCACGTTTGTGTGGACGATTGTGTGCTCGTTTATGTGCACGTTTGTGTGGACGATTGTGTGCTCGTTTATGTGCACGTTTGTGTGGACGATTGTGTGCTCGTTTATGTGCACGTTTGTGTGGACGATTGTGTGCTCGTTTATGTGCACGTTTGTGTGGACGATTGTGTGCTCGTTTATGTGCACGTTTGTGTGGACGATTGTGTGCTCGTTTATGTGCACGTTTGTGTGGACGATTGTGTGCTCGTTTATGTGCACGTTTGTGTGGACGATTGTGTGCTCGTTTATGTGCACGTTTGTGTGGACGATTGTGTGCTCGTTTATGTGCACGTTTGTGTGGACGATTGTGTGCTCGTTTATGTGCACGTTTGTGTGGACGATTGTGTGCTCGTTTATGTGCACGTTTGTGTGGACGATTGTGTGCTCGTTTATGTGCACGTTTGTGTGGACGATTGTGTGCTCGTTTATGTGCACGTGTCTGCACTGGAGGAACCATGTACGGTGCGAGTGGCGGTGCCATGAGGGCGGCTGGAGCACTCACACAGGTAACATGTATAAATGAAGGCACTCATAAGCGTCACGAAGAGAAAGGACAGATAATTATTCATGTGGACAGTCTTCTATGGTTCCAGGGAAAGAAAAAAAAAGGGGGGTAGGGTACGGAACTGCAAAGCGGGGGGAACAGCGGAAGGAAAATGTTAATGGCATAACCTGCTGCAGCACAGGTAAATATTCCCATGCAAAACTATGGCGCAGGGCTCAGAGCAGACAATTCGCAAAATGTTCTTTTCACATTTTCAGTGTCGCTAATTCGGCACCACACAGGTGTGCACATTGGTCTGTTTATCGTTCTATGTGATTGTCACGAGTTGTTATTTATTTATTTTTTTTTTTTTTTCCCCGTCCAGGCCTTGAGGCAGTATGCGCTTTTCCAGCGTTGGCCCCTCAAAACGTACTACACAATGATGGGTAGGCCTGCGGGCGGGCGCAAATGCATGCAGAGGGGCATACATAACATGGTTTAAGAA